AACAGTAGAGCAAAGGTCTGTGGTCAGACCAACTTTAGAGAGAATTTTTGTCATTATAGCAATAAGGATGTATTAGACATCTTGGTTTTATTATCTGCCCTCCTATCACAAACTGATTTAAAATTTTTAAATTTTAAATGATTAAATGAAATTTTAAAATTCCTGGAAAGTTGTCTTCTCTTAACAAATGGTATACTTAATCTCCTGATTAGATGATTAATTAAATTTAAAGCTTTGATAAGGTCTTTTTAAAAAGATTTGGTGTGTGCAAGTTTTTAAAGCACTATTATAAGCAGCTGTGTGCACATATATCCTAGCTATTCTGCCTTGTGAAAAACAGCCCGCTTTTGTTGATTCTTCTAAGCCACCTATTTGCAAGCACGCTGGGTGTGGCACTGCAGATAAATGTGCTGGACTGCCTGGTTGGTTTGAACAGCAAGGTCAGTGGTTCAAGCTCGACATCCACTCTTTGAGTATCGCTGAGTTGGAACCAGCTAGGCAGCACTGAACAACAATTGTTATTTAGTGCCATTGAGTCAGTTCTGACTCATAGCCACCCTGTGTAGGGTTTCCAAGGAGCAGCTGGTGGGTTTAAATCGCAGAGCTTGCAGTCCAGTGCTTATCCTACAGTACCACACCCAGATTTCATTTGCATACAGTCTATATATTCTAAACATACAGAATAAAAATCTAGATGAATTTAGCATTTATTATTGTTAAAGGCTGCTGAGTCAGTTCTAACTCATAGCTGTCCCAGTATAGGGTTTCCAAAGGCTTTTTGAAAATCTTCAAGGGAGCAGAAAGCCTCTTTCTCCTGTGGACTGGCTGGCAGGCTTGAACTGCAGACCTGGTGGTTCACAGACCAGTGCTTCTTTTGTACTACAAGGCAAATTGAAGTGTTATTTACAGTGAACAAAATGTAGTAACCAGAAAGGAATCAATCAGCACTTAGTCCTTTTTGTAATGTATACTGAGAAATGAAATGTTGTATTGAAAAGAATTGCTTTAGTTTGGCTATAATGGAACGTGAAGCATCCTTTGTTAACGTGAAGTAAAGCGTAGTACTTTAAAAGTGTGGGTTGTGTAACCACATTGCCTGCAGTAGAATCCTACCTGTAGTTGGCTGGACAAACTACTCGCTGTTTGCTTTCTCTCTCTCATCTGTACAATTAGGATGATGATAATACCATTATTCCCTCAGATACCTGTTATGACAATTAAATGAGACTCTGTGTTAAAAACTATATAAAAATCTCATGTAGAAAATTATTTCCTACAGTTTTATATATGGATGTGTGTGTGTATATCTTTATGCACACACATCCATATTTCTTATTGTAATGGAAAATGTGTTTTACTGAATATTGTTGTTTATATGGATTCTCTCAACAATTCTTTAGTCACTTTTATGTTTCCTAGCGACTTCCCTTGAGCCTGAATGCAAGGATCTAAAACAGAATTCACCTTGGGTTTGGTGAGTGTGTGAGGCAAGCTGGCAGGTAAGGAGGGCCAGAAGCAGGTGAAGAGCAGGCCTAGAAGGTAGAAGTTCCCTGAAATGAGAGTCTGTAGCTATATGAGACTGCATGTAGTAAAGCCCCCATCCACTTCTCATCGTGTGAGCTTGAGACAAGCTGCCTGTTCTGTGGGGAATGAAGACGCCTCTGGTTCGTTGCTGCAAGTCCTTTGGCTTACTTCCTAATGGCTTTTCTTGTCAAGCTTTTACTTGTGGGATTAAAGTAGAGTGTTCATTACCCCAGTGAGTGTTTAAGAAGATTTATTAGAACGCAAGAAAAAAAATTAATATGCTGGTTTATTTTTTTCTCTGTCTTCTAAATTATTTCTTAAATCTATGCTTTGTAATGGACAACATTGTGAAGTATGACTATTCATTAACACTTAAATGTGCTCATGAAGAATCTGTACATGGACCAAGAGGCAGTTGTTCGAACAGAACATGGGAACACTGAATGGTTTAAAGTAAAGAAAGGTGTGTGACAGGGTTGTGTTCTTTCACCATACTTATTCATCCTGTATGCTGAGCAAATTATCTGAGAACCTGGGTTCTGTGAAAAATGTGGCATCAGGATTGGAGGAAGATGACTCATTAACAACCTGCGATAGGCAGACGATACAACCTTGCTTGCTGAAAGTGAAGAGGACTTAAAATATTAACTGAAGAAGATCAAAGCACACAGCCTTCAGTATGGATTGCATCTCAATGTAAAGAAGATTAAAAATCCTCACCACTGGACCAATAAACAGCATTCTTCTCAATGGAGAAAAGATTGAAGTTGTTAAGGACTTCATTCTTCTTGGATCAACTGTCAACACTCATGGAAGCTGTAGTTAAGAAATCAAACGACGTGTATTGTGTAAGGCAAATCTGCTACACAAGACCTTTTTAAAGTGTTGTCAGCTTGAGGACTAAGGTGTGCCTAACCCAAGCCATGGTATTTTCAATAACCTCATGTACATGCAAAAGCTGGACAGTGAATAAGAAAGACTGTAGAAGAATTGATGCTTTTGAGTTATGGTGTTGGAGGAGAATATTGAAAGTGCTGTGGGCTGTCCATAGAACCAACAGATCTGTGTTGGAAGAAATGCAGCCAGAGTGCTCCTTGAAGTTCAGGATGGCCATTCTGCGTCTCTCATACTTTGGACATACTGTCAGGAGGGACCAGTTGCTGGAGAAGGATATCATGTATGGTAAGGTGGAGGGTCAGAGAAAAAGAGGAATACCTCCAGCTAGATGGATTGGCCAAGTGGCAGCATCATCGGGCTCAAGCGTGGCAACAGTTGTAAGGTTGGCCCAGGACCAGGCAGTGTTTCGTCCTGTTGTATACTGGGTCACTATGAGTCGGTACCAACTCAATGGCACCTAATTAACAACAACAATGTACAGACAGTATTGTTGTTGTGTGCCGTAGAGTTGGTTCTGACTCAGAGTGACCCTGCATAGGGTTCCAAGGCTTTAAATCTTTACGGGCGCCTCATCGTTCTCCCACAGAACAGCTGGTAATTTCAAACTGCTGACCATGAGATTAGCAGCCCAATTCATAACTACTACGCTAAGTTATTAGCACAGTAGTAAATGTGAATAATTGACAGATATACATGTAACATAGTTATATGTATAATCATTGTTTACTTACAAAGGATGCGATCAGGAATTTCTGAGAGTTCTTCTGAGGAAAAGGACTCACTAGTAGTACTCAACCTGTATGCTGAGCAAATAATACAAGAAGCTGGATTCTGTGAAGAAAAACGTGGTGTCAGGATTGGAGGAAGACACATTAACAACCTGTGATATGCAGATGATACAACT